AAACGCAGCCCTTATGGACAAACCATGAGGCCGCATGCAGCTTGACATACTCAACATCAAAGATGGGATGCACAGGTCACCCGGAGATCGTGAGTGAAAGAAGCCACTGACCGTATCCCCTGCCTGAAGTAACAGTCATCTCCCCAAAACCAAAGTTATGCTGGAAACTAGATGAGAGGATGGGCAGGGAAACTTGCTTTCCGTTGTTGGGTCACCATCAGAGTAACATCAGACAGATCTCCTAATTTCTCCATGCTGCTGTAGCTGGGAAATCGCAAGCCAACACCCCTGTCACTTGGCTGGGTACAAGTGCAGTATGAGTGCTTTCAAGACTTCATAGACAGCCATGGAGCATAGTCAGCTACAGAAAATAAAACTCCTGTGCTGTTTATGAATATCTGTTGTGCTCCAATTTGGGGGCAAAAGGCTGCAGTGGTGCTTCATTGCATTCATTGCATTTTGAGGTGGCAACGACTTCTCACAAAGCCATGATCAGTCTTATTTTTCAAATTATATTAGGAAATATAATGTTTGCTCCATCTGAGAATGAATGAGGAACTTGAGCAGAACTGCTAAACATAAAAGTTCCTGGACATCTGGAAAGGATTAGTCAGGAAGGTGCTTGGGACAAGGAGTTCAGGCAAGTTCAGGAGACACCTACTGTAGATTTGTTTCCACAGAAGGAGGGAGGAGGAGTAAAAGGGTTGAGGGGAAAAGCAGGAAGGGAGGATTGAAATAAAACCTACGCAGGACTGGCAGATAAAGTGAGCGATGAGAACAGCCTGCATTCTGCAGAAGCGTGAAGTGCAGAACAGGCAGCCCTAGGGGGTCTGCTGGAATAGAAGGGGCTGGGTGTAGCAACAAGGGATAAACCACGGTGGCAAAGAGCTGGCCAAACAACTGTGCGTGCCCACCCTTGCAAGGGCAGACAACGGACCCTGCACTGAGAACGTCTGCGCTGCGGGAAAGCACATCCCTGCTTCTCAGCCAGACGTCCCCCCACCCAGTGCACATCTACAGGATTAGCAGATTTTGCCCCCCTTGGAGCTCACCAACAACTCAACAGGGCAAATGCTGTGATAAAGTCAAGAGCACTAGAGAAACACTAAAGCGTAGACAGCCGAACGCAAGGAACAGAGCTACACATCCAATTAATGTAGATGGAAGAATGTTTGTTTTATTTCTGAGTGGTTAAGCACTCACGCAGCCTCTTGGGCCCTGAAAAATCACAAAGGAGTTCTGCTCCAGGCCAAGATGAAAGTCTCAAAGAATAAGCATGAAAACCACAGGGGCTTGTGAAACCCATGCTTGGTTTATTAAATGACTCACGAAGCTTTTTATCACATATTTCTGCCTCCAACTCACTTTACACTTAAATTCAGGTGCCAAATTCTTTGTATTTTTCCTAAATATGGACCCTTGTAGTAAATTCAATTTTGAAATCTGTTTGAAATCCATAAGCTTATGCTGAAGCAAAGCTTTTGGGTTTCTTTTAAAAGTCTGGAGTTACCCACAGCGGGTCTTCATTTCTGAAGCAGAACTGTGCAGAGACACCACTGCATCAGAAGCTAACTTTCACCCTACATGAAAAAACAAACTAACCAGATAGAAGACAGATGCTCTCTATAAATGTTCGTGGGTATTCAAATTTAGTAACTGATTTTAGTTTATGCTTTCCCTGTAAGTGAAGAATAACTATTTTCAAATTAAGTTAGCAGGAGGTAAAGCTGAAAATCAAAGCATGAGCTTTGTGTTTCCTGAAAATTTTACTTTAACAAGGTAGCTCCAGCTGCTAACTTTGTTTTATTGCATTCCTGAAGGACAGATCTCCATGCAAGAATACTTTAAGAGCTCTGCTCTAAAAATAAAGGCACTCAGATATATTTTTATGGTTAGGTATATTTTACCAGTTAGTCTCAGAGCCCTTGATACTGCCCTTGCTCACTGGCCTCACGCAGGTATCGCACAGGCTGGAGCCCCCCGTCCCCGCATTCGGCTTCCCCAGGCAGCTGGAGAGGACCCCGCTGCCTGCCAGGCAGATGCTGCTGCTTTTTCATTCACCTCCCTCCCGTCCCAGTGCTCAGGCAGACGCTGAAATCCTTTGCTGATGACAGCAGACGTGGCTTGCTAACGGTGGGCCATGTCACAGCTCAATCTTGGAAAGCTCAGGCACAGAAACAAACTGAGGGTGAGCCAGGGACCTTCAGGGTGAGGGAGAGCCATGGGGAGGAAAAGCGGTGCCTACCGCCGACAGTCTGCCCTGGCTCCTCGGAGCTGCAGGCTGGGACGGCTCCACCCGATATCCCTGCCATCGGAGCGCAGGTATCTAACTCAGCCGTGCAGGCTCCCAGGCATCGGAAGAGGAGTGGTGGTCTTCTCACTCGAGTGTTCTTAAATTAAATGCTTAAAGACTGAATGCCCACCCTGGCTGTCTTCATGGTGGGAGGCCATGTCACAGCTCAATCTTGGAAAGCTCAGGCACAGAAACAAACTGAGGGTGAGCCAGGGACCCAGGGTGAGGAATCTTGGAAAGCTCAGGCACAGAAACAAACTGAGGGTGAGCCAGGGACCTTCAGGGTGAGGGAGAGCCATGGGGAGGAAAAGCGGTGCCTACCGCCGACAGTCTGCCCTGGCTCCTCGGAGCTGCAGGCTGGGACGGCTCCACCCGATATCCCTGCCATCGGAGCGCAGGTATCTAACTCAGCCGTGCAGGCTCCCAGGCATCGGAAGAGGAGTGGTGGTCTTCTCACTCGAGTGTTCTTAAATTAAATGCTTAAAGACTGAATGCCCACCCTGGCTGTCTTCATGGTGGGAACCTTCAAACCCACAGAGATGCCCCGGCGAACGCTGGCTGAAGGGAGTCTCACACACACAAGGAACCATATTCTTGTTAGCAACTGGGGGCCTTGGCAGCTGTCCTGAGCTGTAACATCCAGATCTTGAAGTGGAACAAACCCACAGTTGTATCCAGTTAGAGCGCTCTGATGCGGAGGTTCGGTTGTGCCCTTCCAGAACACTGCAGACAAATGCAACCGATGACATGACCCATCAGCCAGAAGCAGTACAGAGTAATTAACCACACCAAAACTTCAATGAGCACCTCCTTCACCCCATTTCAGTCAGTCAGTCAGGTCACGGCCACTTTTATTTCAGAAAGCGCTCTCAGCACTTTTAGCAGGGCTGTTGTTAACTCAAAGACAGACATCAGAGGGCCAAACATCTGGGAGAAGCAGAAGGGCCACCACCGAACCGTTCTGAAGACCTTCCAAAATTTAAATCTATTTGTTCTTTATGCAGCTGTACTAAAGACAGACTGCCAGAGAAGAGGGGTGTTGAAGGGCTGTATAGTGTGTGCACATGTAAACACAATTCTGCATCCATGAACACCATGATTTATTGTTTTATGATGATGATACCTCAAGGCCTGAGCAAGGATGACACCCCAGGATTCACCCTACAGCCTTCTGTCTTCATGCCCTTCAAGCTATGCGTAATGACCACAAGACCGTGCGGCTGCACCCTGTTCATTTGCCTGCTCTCCCTCATCCCCCATCCCAAAATCAGAACCATGCAGGTCACTCGTTGCAGTGACAGCCATCAGCACTGATGGAGGTGCGTGCATGCTTGCCATCAGCCACGTAGCTTGGCAGCACGCTCCCAAGGCAACAGGTCTGCACTTCAGCCACAGGTTCAAAACCGCATCAGAAAAGGAACAGGAGGTGGATGAAAGATACCACCATTACCTTTGCTCTTTGCTGTACCACAACATCCAACCTCTGTTCGTCAGGTAGATTTCAGACTGGCGGCCTTTGCAGACACCAGCACTCAGCTGTCCAAGATAGCTAGGAGGGCGCCTGCGTAAGTCTGCTGCGAACTGTGTCATCCAACAGCACACGCTCACTCTTTCCTTAAAATCAGAAGTCAGTGATGTCCCCAGGGAAGACGCGTGGGTTGAACACCAGCAGCAGGCAATGGCTAGTGAAGTTTACCTACGCTGCTTCACCGACTGGAACCTAAACACGGGAGGTGAATTTGTAGAGCTGGGAGGAGTTTGCGGCTGGAATCAAAGCTCTGGAAAAGGAAACTAGATGAAATTGCTCACTCTGCTGTAGACAGGAAAATAAATGCCTTATACTGAACTGATGCTGTGGTGCAACCCACGACATCAGCAGTACACTGACAAAGTGAGTCAGCGACAGGTCATGGCGAGACAGAGCCACTCAAGAAGGATGGGAAGTGCTTTACATGCAGAAGTGTCTGCATCGAGACTGCTATACAGCCGTTCGCTAAATAAACTGCAGTCTTGGCTGATCTGCCAGACCAGTATCCTCACTGCATCACCTGCTTTATCTTAAGCTGAAGCAGCAGGAGGAGGACTCCATTCCTCACCCCCCCGGGAAGGAGATGGCCAAGGGAAAAGCTCACAACAGTCGTACTGTGGTCACGCTGCGCTCTCGCACAGGCTCTGTAGGGGATGCACAGAGCAGAGGGCACTTGTCCAGCCAGGAGAGACCCTCGCAACCGGCTGGAGGGCAGGATCAGCACCACCTCCAGGTCCTGAAGTGATGCAGAGC